GAGTAAGTTTAGAGTTGTGAATAAACAAAAAACAGAGTTTATTCTTATAATATTACTTATTAATTATTGTATTATTTTCCTTACAAACAACTGTAAACCTACTTAAAAACAACTGTAAACCTGTATTCTTAAAGAGTTGTTAAAGCATATTATATCTGGTTTTGTTACTATATTTTGGTAGGAGACTTTTTTTGTATACAAGTGACACCAGTCACCACATTTTCCTTATACCGTGTGAAGACCAGAGATCAAGATAAGACTTGTTTTAAAGAGAATTATGATAAATCTGTGTTTTACTTGTTTTATATTATATAGATGAAATGCTCATGCTATTATTGAGAGTAATTATATTTTAAATACACCCAGTTTTTAGTCACTAAATAAATGGAATTTCATATTTTCTATACAAACCCCATTCTATTTCCCACCTTTATTACTTTTCTCAGGTTCTTTATAGAATTGGAGAGTCAGATGGTCCACATCTGCACATTAATATGAATGTGGACCCATTGCTCAATGTATAAAGGAAAGGGAAGGGGGCAAGTTAGATTATTAGTCTCCAATCCTCATTTTTGTCCTGGGAACTCAGACACCAAATAACATAGCTCTTCACATTAGGCAAATATAGAAATATCAGATTGAATTTATTTTTCTATATTCATTATGATTATTCAAACACTTCTGTACCAGTTGGTGCACAGAAAATAAACATTACTCATTTATACAACAAGGAAAGGAACCTTTTTCAGGGCTTTCAAAGATTCTCGATAAGGGAGATTTTAAATGTAAAATGCTACACTTGATTGAAAATTAAGATTTGTGCAAAACATTTGTGTATGTATGTATGTATTTATGTATTACATTTTATATTTTAGGCTAGATAGTAACAATGTATACATAACATATATTTAAATCCATTCATATTATTTTTCATTTTAAATATTCAGTATACTATTTAAATATCTTTCTAATATTTTCATATAAAGGTAAATTGGCCTCATGAAACTAAGGTAGAACTTTTGTTTTTAACTTTAGAGGTATCAATCTTTTTCTAATCATTTTAATAATAAGATGCATAGTTTCATGAAGGAAAACAAAAGAGAGAGAGAATGGAAGGAAAGAGATTGCTTTCATAAAAAGGGAAGAAAGAGAGAAAGAGAGAAAAAGCAGCCAAAAGTGCCAGCACATCTGCATATTTCCTACTTTGACTTGACAAACTAGGCTGATTGTAGAACTTCTTAGAAGGTCATTGGTAAAGGTGAGATTTATTCCAGGGATGCAAGCATGGTACAGTATCAGCAAATCAATAAATGTGATAGATCACATAAACAAATTGAGAGATAAAAATCACATAATCATATCAATTGATGAAGAAAAACCATTTGGCAAAATCAAATGCCCTTTTTTGATAAAAACCCTCAGCAAAGTGGGAATAGAGGGATCAACCTCAACTTAATAAAAGTCTTATATGACAAACTTACAGCCAAAATCATATTTAATGGGTAAAAATTAAAACCATTTCCCCTACAAACAGGAACAAGATAGGGATGTCCACTTTCACCACTCCTGTTTGACATAGTACTGGACGTGCTAGCCATAGTGATCAGACAAGAAGAAATAAAAGGCATCCAAATTGGAAAAGAAGAAGCTTTTTCAGCAATAAGACGAGAAGAAATACAATGCATCCAAATTGGAAAGATGTAAAACTGTCACTATTCAAAGACGACATGATATTGTACATAGAAAACCCTAAAGACTCCATAAAAAATTACTAGATTTAATAAATGAATTTGGCAACGTAGCAGGATACAAAAACAACACCCAGAAATCTATGGCTGTTTTATACACCAACAATGAGCTCACAGAAAGAGAAACTAAAAAAAACAATCCCATTATCATTGCAACAAAAAAATTAAAATACATAGGAATAAACTTAAGCAAGGAGGTAAAAGACCTGTACTCAGAAAACTACAGGACATTGAAAAAAGATATAGAGGGAGACATAAACAAATGGAATAATATACCATGTTCATGGGTTGGTACCCATGAATCAACATCATTAAAATGTCCATACTACCCAATGTAATCTATAGATTTAATGCAATCCCCATTAAAATACCAACAGCATATTTCACAGACCTAGAATGAACACTCTAAAAATTCATCTGGAATAGAAAAAAGAGCCCGAATAACCACAACAATCCTGAGAAAAAAAATAACAAATTTGGAGAGATCATAATACCAGACATCAAATTGTATTACAAAGCCACTGTTCTCAAAACTGCATGGTACTGGCACAAGAACAGACATATAGACCAATGGAACAGAACAGAGAACCCAGAAATCGACCCAGGCCATTATGCTCAATTATTATTTGACAAAGGAGGCAAGAGCATACAATGGAGTCAAGACAGTTTCTTCAATAATTGGTGTTAGGAAAATTGGACAGATACATGCAAAAAAATGAAACTAGACCACCAACATATACCACACACAAAAATAAACTCAAAATAAATAAAGAACTCAAACATAGATGGGAAACCATAAAAATCTTAGAAGAATCCATAGGCAGCAAAATATCAGACATATGTTGTAGCGATATCTTTTCTGATACAGCTACTAGGGCAATGGAAACTAAGGAGAAAATAAACAAATGGGACTACATTAAAATAAAAAGCTTCTGCACATCAAAAGAAACTATCAACAAAAAAACAAGAAAGCCCACTGCATGGAAGAACATATTTGCCAATGTTATATCTGACAAGGGCTTAATCTCCAAAATGTATAGGGAACTCATACTTCTTAACAAAAGGAAGATAAGCAAAACAATAATCAAAAAATGCACAAAGGACTTAAATACTTTTCAAAAGTGGACATATAGAAGGCCTAAATACATATGAAAACATGCTCAAAGTCATTAATTATCCCAGATATGCAAATCAAAACAACAATGAGATATCATCTCACACCTGTCAGAATGGCTATCATCAACAAATCGACAAATTACAAATGCTGGAGAGGATGCAGAGAAAAAGAACCCTCATAAACTGCTGGTGGGAATGTAGACTGGTGCAGCCACTGTGGAAAATAGATGGAGTTTCCTCAAAAAATTAAAAATGGAACTGCCATTTAACCCAGTAACCTACTTCTAGGACTATAACCCAAGAAATCAGAAACACTAATAAAAGAGGACATATGCACCCCTATGTTCATAGCAGCACAATTTACAATAGCTAAGATTTAGAAACAGTGTAAGTGCCCATCAATAGATGAGTGGATTAAAAACCTGTGGTACATCTACACAATGGAATAGTATGCTGGTATAAAAAGGAAAGAACTCTTACCATTTGCAACAGCATGCATGGACCTGGAGAGCATTATGTTAAGTGAAATAAGCCAGTCAGAGAAAGATAAATATCACATGATCTCACTCATTTGTGGAATTTAATGAACAATATAAACTGATGAACCAAAGTAGAGCCAGAGACATAGAATCATTGAACTTCAGAAGGAAGGCAGGGGAGAGGAGGATGCAGGGTAAGAGATCAACCAAAGAAGTTATATGCATGCATATATGCATAAACAATGGACAATTAAATCTTCAAACTAATAATTTAAACCACTTTTCAATTAGCCTTCTTATGAATATCTACAACTCCAAATGATTTTTATAAAAATAAGTCGAGGCAACCAACTGATGCTTGATCTAATCTAATTTATTTGATTTTATTGAGGACAGAGAAAGCTGAGGAAGATTCCTGGATATTATAGTCTTTTAATATATTCACACATAATCATATTTTTAATATTTTTGAAAAAGCATATTAATAAATGTTTATTATAAATATTATTTCTTTTCTTCTGAATTCTTCCTTCTCATCTGAATACATTGCATTAACTTTGAAGTTGTATGCATTTTTATGCTACCTGGTAAACCTGTATAACACAGATACATGCAACACACAGGCTTAGAATTCTTTCCTTTTTAATATATTTTTATTGATTTCAGAGAGGAAGGGAGAGGGAGAGATAGAAACATCAATGATGAGAATTATTGATTGGCTGCTTCCTATGCGCTCCCTACTGGAGATCAAGCTGGAAACTCAGGCATGTGTCCTGATCAGGAATCAAACCATTACTTCCTGTTTCATAGATCAATGCTCAACTGCTGAGCCAAAGAAGCCAGGTTTCATTTATTAAAAAAGAACAGTTTTCAGTAATTATTGCTAACTTTATTTATAAAAAATGTGTGACCAACTGCATTCTAATGATTACCTTTATAACAGACTCATTGTTATATTAAATACAAAAACATCTTTTTATTCAAATATACACTTAAATATATTTTTGTAAGTATAGCAATAAGAATGAAATTGTAATAATAGTGACTATTAGTAATATTTGCTAAGCCAAATCTTCCTCTCTCTCTTTCTTTCTTCCTATAATGACTATAAAGCTAAGAAATAAATTTCATGTGTCATTTAAGAAATGTCTTATTACATGGAGATAACTGGCTTTTGTGAGCTTATACAAATATATGTGACATTTTATGTTTTAGTTTTACTTTTTATAAAACATATATATATATATATATATATATATATGCTAAGTGTCTGACCATATGACTGGTCGCTATGATGCACACTGACCACCAGGGGGCAGATGAACAATGCAGGAGCTGCAGTGACTTGGCAGCAGCAATTCTCGGGTGACACCCCGAAACCAGAGAGGAGGGAGCTTGATTCCTTGTGGGGCCGCACAATTCCACCTTTGGCCATGGGTTACGTTATTGCTGGGCACTGTCAGCCCCGAATATGGTTGACTGCACAGTTGTGTTTGTGTTCCACATACTGTACAACAGCAACTTTGAAGAGTGCCCTCTCGCACTCTGGGACCCCTCAGGGGATGTTGGAGAGCCATTTTCAGCCTAATCCCCACAGGCCAGGCCGAGGGACCCCACCTGCCAGAGGGATTCCACTCACTCTGCAGAAGCCAGGGAGGAACCATGGGAGGTTGGCTCCAGGGCGTGTCTGGCTCATCTCACCCAGTCCCACCCTGCTGGCCACCTTATGGGCCTATAGCCTCTGGCGAGTTATTAGACCTGGGCTGGGTCACCCCGAGCTCCCCACCGCTGCCACCATCAACATCGCTGGCTGGCTCCTCCTTGGCCCAAGCTTAAAGCCTCAGGCTGAGGTGTTAGGCCTGGGCCGCCATCAATGATCGCTGGCTCAATGATCACTGGCTGGCTCCTCCCCGGCCCAAGCCTAAAGCCTCTGCTTGAGGTGTTAGGCCTGGGCCTGGGCCGGCGCACCCCCCACCCCCCCAGCTCCCTGCCGCTGATCGCTGGCTGGCTCCACCCCGGCCCCAGCCTAAAGCCTCAGGCCAAGGCTTTAGACCTGGACCTTGGCATCCCCAGCTCCCTGCCACCAATCACTGGCTGGCTCCGCCCCGGCCCAAGCCTAAAGCCTCTGCTTGAGGTGTTAGGCCTGGGCCTGGGCCGGCGCACCCCCCACCCCCCCAGCTCCCTGCCGCTGATCGCTGGCCATCGAAGCCTAAAGCCTCTGCCTGAGGTGTTAGGCCTGTGCCGGGGCCCCTCTCCCCATGCTCCCCACCTTTGCTGCCATCAATGATCACTGGCTGTCTCCTTCCCGGCCCAAGCCTAAAGCCTTTGGCTGAGGTGTTAGGACTGGGTCGGACCGCCCCCCTTCCCATGCTCCCCGCCATCAAGATCACTGGCTGGCTCCGCCCCGGCCCTGGCCTAAAGCCTCAAGCCGAGGCTTTAGACCTAGACCTGGGCACCACCAGCTCCCGCCACTGATTGCTGGCTGGCTCCGCCCCGGTTCCCCGCCAAAGCCGTCATCACCGATCGCTGGCTGGCTCCACACCAGTCCAAGCCTAAAGCCTCTGGCTGAGGCGTTAGGCCTGGGCCGGACCCTCCCCATGCTCCCCACCATCAACGATCTCTGGCTGGCTCCTCCCTGACCCAGGCCTAACGCCTCAGGCTGAGGGTTTTGGCCTGGGCGGGGGCACCCCCAGCTCCCTGCAGCCGCTGCCATCAACAATCGCTGGCTGGCTCCTCCCTGGCCCAAGCCTAAAGCCTCTGGCCAAGGCTTTAGGCCTGGACTGGGGCACCCCAGCTCCCCGCCACCAATCGCTGGCTGGTTCCACCCTGGTTCCCTGCTGCAACTGCCATCAAGGATCCCTGGCTGGCTGGACCGGCCCAAGCCTAAGCCTCTGGTGGAGGCTTTAGGCTTGGGCCGGAGGACCCCCAGCTCCCTGCTGCTGCCGCCATCAAGCATAGCTGGCTGGCTCCGCCTGGTTCCCTGCCGGTGCCGCCAT